CGCCCATCTGCACTTTTTCTGTGTTAAATAAAAGTATAAATTCTTCACACATGCCAAAAAAAAAAAAAAGCTTCCATATTTCCGAAGAAATACCAAAATGAACAAAAGTAAGCTCAAATAGAAGTGCTAAGTGGCTAAAAACCAAGTGGCTGAAAACATCCAGAATGGAAAGGAAGGGGCAAGCAGACAACTGAAGCAGGTCCCCAAGACATAGCCTGAACCCACACCTGACCCACAGAGGTCTCCGGCGAGTTCTGGGAGCCCCACAGCCTGGGACTAGAAAAGACTGGTTTCTTCTAATGGGATTGCTTAATTTAAGGACACGATCTTGTTCATTATTTCCCCCCACTTAAATGTTAAGTTCCATGAGAGACAGTTTACCAGAACTCAGAACAGTGCTGGACCACAGTAGGTGCTCTATTTGTCAGATAAATGACTGTCTCTGAGATCTCACTTTTTTTTTTTGAGAGTCTTACTTTGTCACCCTTGGTAGAGCCGTGGTGTCACAGCTCACAGCAACCTCAAACTCTTGGGCTTAAGCGATTCTCTTGCCTCTGCCTCCCAAGCAGCTGGGACTACAGGCACCTACCACAATGCTGGGCTATTTTTCCCTGGGCCAGGTCTCACTCTAGTTCAGGTTGGTCTTGAACTCGTGATCAGGAGATCTGCCAGCCTTGGGCTCCCAGAGTGCTAGGTTTATAGGCGTGAGCCACCGTGCCCAGCCTGGGATCTCACTCTTGAGTATACTGTTAGCATTGAGCATAAGGCATTCCCCTATCAAGGAAGTACCTTATTTTTATAAAATTAAATCTTATCTAACAAAAACTAATTTAACAAATATATTTTAAGCAATTAATGGGATAGTCATAGTTTATTTTCCCGCTATGTCCCAAAAGTTGCCCCTAAAGTTTGTCATACATAGGGAAAAAAAAAAATTGTAGCTAAATGTACTTTTATTTACAAAATATTCATTACAAAGTTTTACAAAATATTTATAAAATAGTCTGTTATGTGCTGTCACCTCTGTCAAATTCTGAGATGAATATTTTATAAATAAAATTACTCTTAGCTACAATTTCCCATTTTCCCTCTGTATGGTGACTTTAGGTGTGACTTTTGGAACACCTATAGATTTCGTATGTTAAAATATCCTTTCATTTCTAAAATCAATCCTCTTTGATTATGCTGGATCATTTTTAATATACTATGTATTAAAAATATAATTTGCTACTATTTTACTTAGATTTTTTTTTTCAGACAGGATCTTGCTCTTGTCACCCAGGCTAGAGTGCAAGGGCATCATCATAGCTCATAGCAACCTCAAACTCCTGAGCTCAGGTGATCCTCCTGCCTCAGCCTCCTGAGTAGCTGCAAATAAGGGTCCACCCTATCACACCTAACTTTTCTTATTTTTTGTAGAGATAGGGTCTTGCTAAGTTGCTCAGGCTAGTCTTAAACCTTTGGCCTCAAGTAATCCTCCTGCTTTGGCCTCCTAAAGTGCTGGGATTACAGGTGTGAGCTACCATGCCTGGCCTTAGTTTTTGAGGCCGAGTCTCACTATGTTGCCCTCAGTA